TTACCCCAGGCCGGTGCGCCCAAGAACAGTCTTCTTATCAGGATTCCACAAGAATCTACGGAAGCTTTCTCGCTCGAATTTCATCCTCGGGTTGGTGGTAGGAATCTTGGACTCATCCTCCGGGGGCTTTGGAGGACCTTGTGCGCCCTTCAGGCCGCTCCTCGCGTACGCAGAGTTTGTATCTTGTCCAGATGCCATTCCGAAGCCTTCTGGGATGCTGTTGACGCCGGTGCCGAAGTAGGGCGGCATCCGGTAGATACGCAAAGGCAGTAAAATTACGACATAATCTGATTCACTTGCTCTGCATGCCTCTGTGTGTGTGTGTGTGTGTGTGTGTGTGTGTGTGTGTGTGTGTGTGTGTGTGTGTGTGTGTGTGTGTGTGTGTGTGTGTGTGTGTGTGTGGTGTGTGTGTGTGTGTGTGTGTGTGTGTGTGTGTGTTGTGTGTGTGCGTGTGTGCGTGTGTGCGTGCGTGCGTGCGTGCGTGCGTGTGCGTGTGTGTGTGCGTCGGTGTCATGTAGAGGCAAAGTACCAAAATTCTTTTATAAAATTATTTTCTTGGCGTGATCATCATTTGTCTCTTTTTCCTCTCAATACAGCACAAATTATTTATGCATTACACGTATTTCTTTATCTTTAAATAGCTGTTATCAGTGCGCTTGATCCCAAGGGACGATAACATAAAGGGAGCATAGATTTGATGGGTGGGGTGTATGTCACCAAGGCCTATAAAAGTACCTTGTATGTCATGACGTCAAACCCTACAACACGTGGTCGAGAGCTAACCATCTTCGAAAAAACAACGCAATGGAGCTTTAGTTGCGCTTCTGAAGAGGCCTAAGCTAAGTTGTCTGTCACCAAAGCTGTCCTACTAACCTGAAAGCGTTGCTGTCGCGTCAGGGAGTCAGCTGCCTGACATCCGAATTCATGACACTACAAAGACGTCATTGGGGTGGGCGGAGACTACCATCTGGCCGAGAACTGATTCGCATGCGAGAGTCTCGTCGCCCTAGCTATTCTGTGTTTGGCCGAACCCGATAGAGGCCAGTTACAACAATTCATTTTGTAACTAATACGCGAAATTTATTGTTTGTTACGGTATCGCCACTGGTATTGGTTGTTCCCTTAAATTTCAATTACCTGGATCATGTTTTTTACGGAAAATTGAATTTGGAAGCTAAAACAAAATCAAAGCTTTACACATATTCATATTATTTCCAGTCGTAAACACTGCGTCCCGATACATTGTCTTTGACTGCGGTATCGCATATATCAAGCTATTTTTTAATAAAAAAAAAACTTTCTATATATATATGCTCTCGTTGAATCATAATTTATAAAAGGTATACTTTTATAAATTATGATTCAACGAGAGCATAATTCTAAACTGTCTGTAGGTCTTATTGCAATTGTAGATTTTTAAAAATCAAGCATTAACATATGAATGCATTCGGACATACCTCGC